TACTGCTCCACCCGCACTAACATGGACAATTTCAACAGAGCTTACTGATACTCTCCTCAATGGATTTAAAGTTGAATATACCATTCCTTCCTACTTTCCGTGGCTTGGGATATTTGGAATGTAGTTTGAAGACAATATTAACGAAACATCATTTCTAACATTCCTTAGGGCAAACGATTAGCCTCGATAAGGGTTACTTTCCTTTAGTTCAGAACTTAAATTGGTTTATGGAAGGCACAATTTGTAGGCATTACAATCACTTTAGCCGTAAAAATGGAAGCACAGCTTTAAGTGAATAAGACAATGTGAAAATGAACACATTTGTTCTACGTTGCTCACCAAGACGTTACTCTCATCACCTTAAAAGATAAAGGCAACCTGAAAATGGCTTAGAGTTGAAAAATGGAGTTTCGCAAGCTTTAATTCAAGTAGTAAGCTAGAAGATCAAGTTATTCCTCAAATCTTAATGTGGCACAAAGAATGATCATGAAAAATAAGACATAAGAAATTTTCAGGGAAGAAAACAAGCTTAGGAGGGCGAACATACCCAACGGTAGTTAGCACCGTCGTACTTGCGCACCGAGGTGAAGACCACAGTCCGAGCAGGCATATTCAAGCCCATCGCAAAGGTCTCGGTGGCAAAGAGACACTTAAAGTGAAGGAAAAAAGCATCGAAAGGATGTGAGTCTTAAAGATGGGAAAAAGTGTATGAAGTGAAAGCGTCAGATCGAAAGAAGTCGTGCGCTGACAAATCCAGAAAAAGACTTAAAAACAAGATAAAAGAGCTTGCTCCAGAAGCCAGTCACATACCTTCATTAAACCCTCACCGAAGAGAATCTCAACAGTCTCTTTGAGAATTGGCAAGAGACCACCGTGATGAATACCAATGCCCTTCTTGAGAAGAGGGAGTACACTTTCCACCTGCGGCAGACAGCGATCCTCCGGGGAGAGGCCACCAATAGCGTTCTTAAAGACCTCTTCCACCACGCTCTTATCAGCAGCTGGTGGGAACGAAAATGCGCAGATGGATCGGCAGGCAAGCGTTGCATTGGTTAAAAACACTAATATGAGCGCCATCGTAGTTCTGGTAACTAATGCTCAATTTCCTAAAAGCTTATCTCTAGCAAAAGTCATTTCGGACGAAGGTCTCAGAAGACGTAAATTGCGTGATGAAACGACATTTCGTAATGCCAACCATTTACTGATAAGGCTCGTGTGTATTTGTAACTAACACACCCAATGAGAAGGCATGAGAACCGAAATCGAAAACATCCCAACCTTCAAACAATACATCAAACAGCTAACCTGTTAAATGATAAGTTTGGAAGCGAAACATGTTGAATACAATACGATCGAATGATTACAAAACGAATAAACTCCGTCAAATTCTCCTCATGCAAATTTACTCAAAATTTAAAATCGACGGTAGTCTGGGTTTTGCTAAAGATAAGCCGCTGTCCTTATTACTGACGATATCTTGAAAGGCATCTGAAAGTACTTTTCAAGCTCAACAATTAATTCACCATTTTTATTAATTGAGAGCAATAAAGTGAGCGATGAATAGTAAAGGTTTAAAGGTATACGTAAAGGAAAGGGATAAAGGTGAGTGATACTGTAAGGAGCATAAACAATGAGTGCCCTCCGAAGTTATGAAATGTGAATCGATCTTGGAGGTAAAATATAACGCGCTTTAAAAGCAATACCCCTTTGATGATTCGGCACACTAGACCGGACAAGTATATGTCAAGGAAATTACAAAGTAGAAGATTATCTAGGTTTACTTTCAAAAATCAAACAACTTAAAGACTAGTAAGGAATCACCAAGACTACTTCCCGAGACAAACCATTGTGTCAAAGCAGCAATCAAATTCACCTCACAAATTACTTAAGTAATCCATCAGTCAAAATACAGTATTGACTGGACGTGAAAAGAGATCCCAACTCACGGCTTATGAAGTCGCATTCGGACATCTTGAGAGCGTAGATTTCGCATTCCTTCCTGCTAAAACAGAAAACGATGACAGGTTCTAGGTTGTGCTTCTTCACTAAGCGCACCATCTTTGACACGTTGTCTTCCGTCTCTGAAAGGGGATAAAAATCAAATCCGGTTCATTGCTGGAAGGGTAAAATTTGCGTTAAAGGAAAACACAGCTCTGGTTCTCATTTCTTGTCACTAAGACGTTCGACAAGTAATTCCTTATTTCTACGATGCTGATACAAAAAGTCTGCAAAAAATGCCGATAAATGTACTGCCAATGGTTAATCATGAAACACGTTGCTCATTAAAATAAAAAGTAATTAGTTTGTTGCCATGGTAAGAGAAGATAGGAAGAGACTCACTCTTGCTCATAGGACCTGTCCTGGCACGACTGGTGGATGGGCCACCAAGCTCCTTCGGTTTCGGAAAGGAGGCCATGGCCTTTCGGAAGTTCTCTTCGATGTACTTCCCCTAGAGGTCAATAAGGAAGGTTGAGTTACTTAAAAATAGTACCACCCCACTACCTCA